CCACCCCCCTTACGAAAGATGCAGAGACGCAACACGCCACACTATCAGCCATATGCCTAGCCAGGTCCATCGCGCTACTAATCTGCACTTCCCACGATTTCTTGAAGAGCTGTGGCCTTGCTTGTAACGGACTGCTAATCATTCATGTTATTCGCTGCGGGACCACGGCACTGACGCACTTGTTGCACGCTGGGGTAGAGACCGAAAGGGCATTCTCCTCACGCTGCGCTCTAGCCTTATAATATTTCCGCGCCCTTTCGAGATGCAAAGGGGCTTAGTTCTACTTCTGCGCACCCCCTTCATGTGTTTCTTGGGCTGAGCGCAGGATGATCCATATCAAAAAAACTTCGAGAGCTGATCTAGTAGCAGACGAGCATTTACCTGCCCTGATGATCAGAGAACACCGTCTCGAATAAGGTAGGCGCTGTGTTGTCGACAATATGCGGCACACTGTCGGTGATCTGAATGAAAGAGCTCCCCAAAAGTATCAAAAATATCATTAGAATCTTCATAGCTATTGAGAGTTACGAGATCTGTGCTAGTTACTACTGCTTTGACTCACTCGATAGATCCGTGCCTCCTTCCTGGAGTTCGGTGCTTCCTCAATCCAAATTGTTTGGTTTTTGTAGCCATCATCGACCTCTCCAAGAACGCAGTACGCCTGCCAATAGATTTTGTATGTACAGGAATGATAAGTAGTGCAGGCACTTGAGGAAATTTTGCCTTGGGGAAGTTTGAAATCTTTTTACGAATTGGTATGTGATTTATTGCGGTGAGCGAGTGGATACCGTTATCACTAACGAGCTCCTGCCTAGTGAGCGTGCTTTCCATTACCGTCTATATGCCACGACCGAGGACAGAGGATTAGGATGGAATACCAATTGTGATTGCATGCTAGGTAGGTAGCTAATAGGTCGTTGAAAAAGGTATAACAGTTACAGCATGTTGTCAGGTAATTGATAAAACAGTGCTAAAGTGTCAGATTGTACAGCGGCGCAGAGCAACCGGTCCGCTTCGCCGAAGCGTTTTGGGGGTGATGGGTGTGCGCAGCGACAGGCAGTTTTCCATCAATCGCGGTCGCCTGTCAGCTTCCACCATTGGCGCGGCGCCAAACTAAGCCACCCTAACACGCCCCAGCATTTCATCGAAGAGGACTACACTAATATCTGGATATGCCACAAAGAGTGCGCGCAATTCTGAGGAGCTTGTCACTCGGATCTATAGACGGGTTGTTCAAGGAATTATTGAGGTAACTAAACCGCTCAGATGCCACCAGAACTTTGAATATCACGCTAGGTCTCTGAGGCGATACTAATTTTGTCAGTATCTGAAGAACAGGGGACCTGTAAGTGGTCTCGCCATTGGCGATAAAACTGCGCACACAGGAAACTTGAACGACCTTCACTTCTTTGCAAACTCTTCCAGGCATTGGTGATCTTCTCTTTACCTCGTGTGCCTTTCGTGTTGAGTGAACGGTTCGTGCTAACTGTTGCACATCGTTGTTAGGCGAGGTACAAAGAGGGTAGATCTACGCGCATCCAGAATGTGTCAGAGAGCGCCTTGCTGAGCGCTAAACGGACTGCTCGCTAAGATCGGAATAGATGGGTAAAAAAAACGACCTGCTTGACTGAGTAAGGCGAAATGGCACCACAAGCGATGACGCGATCCTTCCCATCAACAATCGTGACCGTAACGGCTGTCGTTTCACGGATGAACGCTGCATTATTGTTCACAGGGAGGAGTCCACCGCCTAGCACATAGTTCGCAAGGCTTTTCTCAGCTAGTGAAGCAAGCGATGGAGCAGAGTTCATCCTAAAGTGATCAACCGGTGTATGTAATAATGTACATTAATGTAATGTACAGTCCTCATCATTGCAGACCGGTGGGGCGGGTGAGCCGCGCTGCGTGTGACTCGGCTGTGACGCGGCAGCGATGACAGTCGCGTCACAGCCGAGTCACCGGTCTGCAATGATGAGCACCATACATTATTACATACACCGGTAATGTACATTATCGGTCAATTGACCGACAAATGAGAGTGCACAACACTGAGCGACGCCTGAACATCCATATAAAAAGATGAGTGATTGGTATACATAGAATTATCTACAAAAAAATCCAGCACATTACAACAAAATGTGATGCTGAAAGGCCGAAATAAGGAACAAATGTGATTCAGATAAATTCAAATAAAACCTATGTCCCGTTTGAAGGCAGTGGGCAGAATGGCAATCCACTGGTGGAAGGGCTGCGAGAGGCCGTTTGGCCACACTTTTCTTGGTGCTTTCTGTGCTCAAAACTGCACAGGAACGAGGCTGAAGGGCAGTGACGGCTCGGTGCCGATTCCATGCTCCGCATCGCGCTGCCGGGCAGTCAGACACTCACCCAACTATAGCCATACGCGCTGCTTGTCTGTGCCCTTTCACGCCTGATCGTTCTTCGCTAAGTGCGTGTTTCTTTGCGGAATTTCGGCATCGACGCTAGTGCTACAGCTTGAGAATGGGCGGAGCCCGAAAAGGGCAACCATGTATTAATGCCCACTAGCCCCCTTCCCGTGCACTTCTGAGCTGAAAAAACAACCTGCCTTTAGTGATTTGGCCTATACGTTGCCTTACGGTAGAGGGTTCAATCTGCCAGTGTTCCTTGTCTCGCGGGAACGGGCAGGGCACATCACTGGTT